GAAAGAAAGAAAGAAAGAAAGAAAGAAAGAAAGAAAGAAAGAAAGAAAGAAAGAAAGAAAGTTTTGTTGCTTTCAGTGGGAGGGAGATTCTTAAAATGATCATCAAGATGTGCATAAATAGAGTGTATCAGATTTAGTATGCCTCAAATGCCTTCCTCACTCAAACAGTACAAAGGTTTCATAAACATTTTTATTTTGCTAATGAAATACCTTAATTTTTTAATTAAGTAGCTTTCACACTAAAAGCCAGTCTTTTTCACTTTTTGGTTTCCAAAAATGCTGCGTTTTGTATGTATGAAATAACGCATGTTTCACTAATAGGCAATACTTACAATATAAGTTTAGAGACAATAATATTCCAATTTATTTTTTACTGTTGGAATGAGGTTATTGAGAGTACCTGTGACACTTTCCTCGATCTGTTCATACAGTAAACAGAAAATCTACCGCTTTTTGCTCCTTTTCTTTACAAGTTGTCATTCCTGATCTAATAATATGATAGAGATAATACAATTTGATCCAATATGATTGATTCCAGCAAATAATATAATTTCATTAAAAAGTTGGATTATAATTTATTTTCCACATTTTAAGTTAATTTTTTTAGGTATTATTTTGCTTAATTTTAGTTGAGGAAATTGTTTCTTTTCCTTATCTCTTCTAGATTTGTTGCTATCTTGGCAGTTCCAAGTAAAAAAAAAATTAAATCATTTCATCCATCTTATTTTATTGAATTGAACATAGCTCTTAATAATAATAATAATATTAAACTTGTTTGCTGCCCAACACTCAGTGACTCTGGGTGTCTCACAACAAAGAAATTACAATAAAATCAATAAAACATAAAAAGTAAAGATAAAAGTTGTAAAACAGTAATCCTAGTAGACAACAGTTTTTGAAGCTACAATAGAAAATTTAGAAAAAATAGCAGCAGTTCATAACTCTCAAATGTCCTAAGTCCTGTTGAGAACATGAATCTAACACCTTAGTAATATGATTCTTTACTGAATACTAAGATCATAGGATGATTCTGATGCTTAGCTTTATTTATTCCCTTAAATTATGTTAACATATCAAGTTAACAGAATGTGTGTGTGTGTGTCCTTTTTTATACATATGTGTGTTTGCATGTGCATATGCACACACATACTCACACGGCATAAATACAGGTTTTGTTTCTAAGCCAAATGACAATTATAGGATCTCCTGTCTGAGTTAGAATTGCAACAGAGCAAATAGCTAAAACTAGATTGATTATATGCCATCAAGTTGGTGTCACTCTTTTTGACCACATAGATACATTTTTCTACATGTTGATCTGTCCCTAAACGTGGTCTTTCAGGTCTTCCACTGGTGCCATTATAACAGAGTCCATCCACCCTGCTGCTGGTCATCTTCTTCTCTTTCCTTCCACTTTTCTCAGCATTAGAGCCTTCTCCAGAGAGCTGGGTCTTTGCATAATGTGTGTGAAGTAGCCTGGTCATTTGTGCCTTGAATGAAAACTCTGGGTTGATTTGTTTGATGATCCATTTGTTTGTTTTCTTGGCTGTCCATGGTATTCCCCAGTACCAAAGTTCAAAAGTGTCAATATTCTTTACATCTTGCTGTACACCAGTAAGGTGTTACTTAATGATTTGCATTATAACTCTCTGGAAAAATGAAAGAAAGAAATGAAAGTGTTTTTAAGGGGATAGGGTTTCCTATCATTTGAACTTTCATCTGGTGCATTGTCTGTTTCATTATGCTCTCTTCCTTATTTTTGCTATTTTAGAAGGAACTGGGAATTGTATGCATGGTTTTGTTTCTTGATCAGAGTCTCTTTGTATCAATATGCTTTTGCATTCCTTGGATCAAACTTAACGATTCTCTTAAAACTGTGATAGAATAATTCTTTAATTGTTTTTTCTTTAAAGAGAAAATGCAAATCCTTAGTCTAGAATTCTAACTCTTGGCATGGAGGTTCCTGTTTAATTTTTAGTGAGCAATAAAAAGTCTTCTTATACTGTTGCAGTCACATTCAAAAGGTCATTTCATACTTGAAATACTAAACTGTAACCCAAGCGAGAGCAAAATTAATTTCAAAAAGGAAACACTATTTGCTTTTTAATATATGTTGTGCTCAGAGGCTTTGAAAGAGAACACAGGATTGGATAATCATAAATGACAGATTACAGAGTATTCTCCCAGAGAAAATCTGCAGAGGATTTGAAAATACTATTTTAATAGTAAAATGAATGGATTGTCTTTCTTAGAATGATTCCAAGCTTGCTTTAACAGGAATTTTGAGTGTACTTTGCAGTTAGTAAATGTTGCTCAATTGAAAAAGAATATTAAAATTAAATCAGTCATGAGAAATGCTACAAAATTAAAAGGATAAATATGCAAACTTAATTCCTGGAATGAAAAGCATTAAAAAAGCAGGCTAGCTCGTAGCACAATGCTTATGAAACACTTTTTTTTTTTAATCCGCACTCAGTCGTTGCCAACTCTGCGGTGACTGCCTGGACGAGTCCCTGCACTTTTCAAGGCAAGGTGTTTCGGAAGTGGTTTGCCAGTGCCTCCTTCCTAGAGCAGAG